TCAAACGAATGCAGTGCAACCGGCATCAACTGTCGTCTTCCGGTGAGATCAACACACAAATCTCTTCCTCAAGCACACTTTCACACAAAGAGATAATCACAGAAGAGTCAGGAAATTTTTTTAGTTAAGTCTACTCTTTTCTTTATGATACAATCGAAATGCCTTGAATAAAGTGCCTCGTTGTCTGCTGAGTGTTGCTTGTCAGCAGAATTGGACGACGATTCTAGCCGTACGTCTGATAGCAGCTCCATTTCCTGGTGGAGCACAAGGTTTAGACTTCTTCTGCTCTTTTATCTATCTCCAATTGTCCAAGTTTTTCTACACGACAATGACGGGCAATTTAACAACTCTGGTTTTCTCCACTGTTTTTGTATCTTTATCTCTCTTTCTCTCTCTCTCTCTCTATATATATATATATATATAATTATATATATATATATATATATATCTTTTTTTTATATACTTGTGTGTATATATGTGTGTACCTTCTAACTGTAAAATCGTGCTTCCTCATGCCTTCCTTCCTCAGCATCATGCAAATTGTAAGCTTTTTGCTGACATGTTCTCTGTGGGCAGGCGCCTCTACTCACTATTCTGGAATTTATGTCATCACTCAAGGCTTCTCTGCCTCCGAATATGCTAGACTCAAGTTAGACCTATTTGGCGCAGTCGCAGATTCCGTTTCGTTTCTGCCACTGTTTAGCGAAACCTATGAACAGCATCATTTATTCACACTATGTAGTGGACGACTGATCGGCCGTTATTTCTTGAATGTGAGAAAGATCACGGTTGAGTCCTATGATTGTTGGAATACAGGCTTTTGGAAGCAAAGCCAAAAGAAATGGGCTTTTTTACGAGATCACCAACTTGTCTGGAGAGTTTGAGTTTGCTAGTATCCTAGGCAAAGTTAGTCGAAAGGCTAGTCTTCGAATAAGCATCAATACTTTACTTGATAAGGTGGACAGTCAAGGTACTGGAGGATGGGATTCTGGTGTCTGACTCTCGCGCATTAGCTAAAGTGGGCTTGATTCTGCTTTGAGCTAACTTGGTATGAATATGCTTTTTCCAATGTACACATGCACACACTCATGCACACACATGCATGCATAGACATATG